AGAGAGAGAGATTCCTGCATCTGCAGCTTTCAAAGCCCCACAGTCATTGGCTCCATCTCCACACATTCCTACACTGTATCTGGAGAAATAGAATGAATTAAAATCAGGAATTTACTATGTCACAGAAAAATACACATAACTCATTGTGGTTTGATTCTTAAACACTAAAGTACAAAATGACATATCTAGAATTTTACAACCAGCCACTTGAACTTTAATCTCCAAGAAACAACCTAACAATGTTAACAGTTAGTGATAATGTGCATTGCAGATTATACCACACAACAGGAAGCAGTCAAGTAGTCAATTTGGAAATCCCATTGTAATAATCATTCTCCCCAAAGTACTTATTTCAGGATGAAATGATTTATTCATTCCACAGCTGCAAACTGCTTCAGAATGGAAAGTTCACAGGACAATTCTCTGGCATGAATTTACGTTTTCTTTTAAAAGTCCTCTTCGGATTAATTTAGATTCAAATTGCAGCATTTGAAAACTGGGAGTGACCTAAATTATATTAATGCCTAGCCATTATCTTTTGGTGACTTTGAATGGCTCAGCAAGTTTGCTCATCAGTAACTGAGCTCACAGAATAGGAAGGCTCATGGTTCCATCCCTGATTTATACTATGGCAAGTAGGTACACAACTGGAGTCAATCTCAGGTAGGAAGGGGCAAAATTAGCTACAGTGCCTGGCTCCTGTCTTTATTGGAAAGTGATTCTGTATGAAGACGACGTTGTTTGTATTGTACCTGTTAAGAGTTAATGGCACAAACACAGGAGATGTTCAGCAGAATGCATATGGAACTATACACCAGAACATTACCATATTTAGAAAGAAGGGAGAAAATATGCTACAAAAGGTGTTTTCCCAGGTCCCTGCATTATCTTTGGTAAGAAGAACAGGCAGGTGTCCTGGTTCTTGGAATTTACCATTACAGTCCTTTAACCAGCAATTAATAGGGAGTGAGACAGTGCTCCTGGCATAACTCTCCACTTTTAACACATCCCAAACAGCAGCAGCTCAGAATATTAAGAGCAGATTATATACACTACAGTACTCCCTCACCACAAGTGCTGGAGTAACCAATACAGTCGGTTCTGCAACAACATGCGTTTCTTTAATGCGAATTGGCTTTAATGCGATTCCAGCCCCATTAGTTTAACTGGTGCGGCTATTGCACGATTTTCTTATAACGTGAGATCGCACGAGAACGGACCTATTGAGTTACATCAGAACCGACTGTACATCTCTTCTATATTTATTCTAACCATTCAATTGTTAACTTACTCCAATTTCTGTAAACTCTCCACTAGCTGTGTCTTCTGATTAGGAGCCATTCGGGCATAAACAGTACCTCGAATCAGAATCTGGGAATAAGCGTTAAAAACCAAAACAGATTAAAATTCCCACATTAATCCATTATTAAATAGACTCTGGCTTGTATTCCAGCTATGACTCTAACTACCGTTTTTCAACAGACTGAGCCTTATTTTTAAATATATTGTATTGGATTCAACATAAAACTGTTTCTAGTTCCCATCAGATGTGTATTCCTCCGTTTCACACAGATTTTGTAATAATGAATGCCCAAACTGAGCGGTGTCAGAGACATTGCACCTCCCCCCATCTAAGAAATATTGTCCCCTTTTCAAACCAGTTCTATTTAATTTTTTAACAGCATAGCTGCTCCTCAATAAATTTTGTGCACACATATACGTAGGAAAGAGCAAGCAGGCTAAAGAGATCACAGATTAAATATTGAAGCAGCTTGGTTTTCAAAAGTTAACACTGCAAGATTCAGAAATTGAAATCCTGGGGTCACAGTTTAATTTAGACTCATTATTACCAAGATCTATGCCAACCCATCCCCACTAATTGTGTTCTCCTCAGTATTACAAGACTCTGGACCTTTCCCATTATCATTATTACAGATTAACCTTAAGGCCAGAGTAATAAATAACATGCAATTCTCCTCCCAGATTTGCAGTAAATAGACAGTGAAAATCAGGCTCAAATACTAACCTTCTGTAGGAGATCTGGGAAATAGTCATAAACCACTGCAAAAGACTTTCCATTTAGTGCAAAGTGATAGGAAGATTGCTCTAGAGAGTGGTTCCCAGACTGTTGCTGCTGGAACAAATTATAACATAAATTACTTAAAAATAAACACCAAAGCTTTGGGCAAGTCTGACCAGAAGGGAGGCCATGTACAAATACATGACCGGTATATGGAAAAACCAAGTGCACCATCCCCAACTGCTTCCTTCCCCAGTCAATTCAGTGTTATTAAATATATAAGAGTCCACCACGATTGCAATAAAAAAGGCCAAAATAGAGCAAATGCTGGAAATCTGAAGTGCAACATGAAAATGCTGAAAATACTGAACAGTTCTGGTAGGTGTGGAGAGAAACAAATTTCAAAATTTCAAATTGGTGACCTGCTGTCAGACCTGTTGCACCACTTCTAATATTTCAGCTCTTACCATAATATTGCCATTAAGTTGCCAATACACTGTCTTGCATGTTTTTCCTCCTCAGTGCATCTTGCATCAAGACTCAACACTATTATTTCTCCTTTTAATAGCAGGACCTCAAAAAAAATGTGGTAAAACTCATTTTCCACAGGGTGTCATGGAACCACAGAATCCCTACAGTGTGGGAACAGGCCATTCAGCCCAATGGGTCCACACCGACCAAGCCTCTGAAGGGCATCCCACCCAGACCCATCTCCCTACCCTATCGCTGCATTTCCCATGGCTAACCTACCTAGCTGGCACATCCCTGAACATAATGGGCAATTTAGCATGGCCAATCCACCTAACCTGCACATCTTTGGACTGTGGGAGGAAACCGGAGTAACCCGCACAGACAGGGGGAGAATGTGCAAACGCCACACAGACAGTCGCCCGAGGGTGGAATTGAACCCGGGTGAGGCAGCAGTGCTAACCACTGAGCTGTTCAGTCTCTCAGAAGATTCCCTAGGCTGAAGGCGTTGTCTTGAGGAAGTTGAGCAAGTCAGGCTATACTTATTGAAGTTTAAAAGAATGACAAGTGATCTTACTGAAACATAAAAGATTTGAAAGAGCTCGACAGGTAGGTGCTGGGAGGATGATTTCCTTTGTGAGGGAATCTATATCCAGGTGCACAGTTTAAAATGGGGGATGTTCCATGAGACAGAGATGAGAAGGCATTTCTGCTCAAAGAAGTCTATTGGTCTTTGGAATTCTTTTCTGTGAAAGCACTGGTAACTGGGTTTTTAAATATATTCAGGGCTATGTTAGACAGATTTAGATACATATTAATGAAAGAATGACTGACTTATTTCAACAAGAAATGATAAACTAAGTTCACGGTGACCTCTTTTGTAGTTGCTTGCTAGGTCCACCAGCGCTACCATTATCGATCCAAAACATTGTTAATAATTTGCATAATTTTACAACCCAGAGGATAGTGTTTCCTGAAGTTCTACCTGACTACCTACCTCCATTCCATTCTGCTGACCTGGTGCTGGTTCTGATAGCAGGAATTTCACACAAGCAGGTTTACCACGAATGGACGGGGAAGCATTGGTAAAAATGACTCTATCATTCACACCCACCATCCCACAATTCCTGGCAACATTGAGAGCTGTTAACATGTTGTCTCCTGGAAGAAAGAAGATTCAACAAAATCACTGATAGCAAGGACCCAGGGTCAACATTAGATCCAGAACACCCAAAGGGTCAAAATGTTGGTCCTATAAAGACAAGCTATTGATCATGCCGAGTTAGCCAAAGCTGATGAGTAACCAGGTCTGAAATGGTGCATAATCGAGTGAAACAGTCGAACGATGTTTTTCTTCAACAAATTGAGCTTAGAGATAAGTAGTACTTTTTGTTGCAATTTGAGTTTTAACTTGACAGAAAGAAAACTGGGATTTTGGAAGAATAAACTGCCAATTCTAATGACAGTTCTGCAAAGGCAGAAGTTGCAAAACGGGATTCAACTGCATTCCAGAAGGTTCTGTGGTTATTTGCAAAGCTACTCTGCTTTGTCACAATCTGTGCTATTTTGTGGCAACTTTGCAATTGAACTGTGGGTTAGGGTTGATGGGGAAAGTTCTAAGGAGATGTGAGGGGCAAAGTTTTTTTTTTAAACAGTGTGGTAGGAGTCTGGAACATGCTGCCAGGGTTGGTGGTGGCAGCAAATACAATAGGGGCACTTAAGAGACTTCTAGATAAGCTCTCGAATATGCAAGAAATGGAGGGATAGGGCCCAAGGGCACGCAGAAGGGATTAGTTTAATTTGGCCAAAGGGCCTGTTCCTGTGGTTAAAAGTTCTATGTTCTACGTGGAGAGTTCCTCTGTGCCACAGAGGAAATGGTGAACTAACTTCCACGAACCAATAGGTTTCGCATCAAGCCAAAATAATGCTGCCCATGTTGAAACAGTTCACATCTCATCCAACAGCAGCGAGCGTCTGTTATGTAGACATCAGCATTCTATAACATCAGCATCACTATTACAAGCAAGATAAGTATCTGGCCAATATCGGTGACTTTGGAAGAACGGGATTTAATAAGTGAGACTACCTACATTATAAAACAACCTAGCTCCAAGCACCAGAGAGTCGTTGAAGCAAGTTCACACTTGCTACCATTGATTTGATTTGATTTTAATTGTCATATGCATTTTGTAACAAAGTGAAAAAAGTGCTGTATAGTGTCACCACCTTCCAGCGCCATCTTAAAACACAGAAAAATAAACAAAAACATTGAATATAGTGGCAGAAAAATAAAGAAAGCGTTCAACCATGGGCCTGGTGGCTAGGTATGAATCCTCGCTGCCACCACCGCAATGAAGTTGTCACTTCAGCACCATCTCAATTCCATCGATACCCTTGCCACGAGAGTCCTTGCTGCACTTCACTGATGCAGGCGGATATCGCACCAGCCCAAACTCGACTCTGCCGCCATGAGTCTGCTTCGGGCCCACCTTGTCAATTTAGCAGCTGCTGATGCCCTCAGGTCTTGTACTGGGCCTAAACTCGTCTCCGCCGCTGCCTCCTCCATGAATCCGCGCTGGACACAGAGCTGCTGGGAACCCAAACTCGCTTCCACAGCAGCAGCTATGAACACAGCGTTAGGACCACCTCATTGATGGGGAGGTCGCCAGGAACTCAAACTTGCCTCAGACACCTCGACCAAGCTCTTCAATGAAAACAACCCACGTCCTCAAACCAAGCCTGAAAATGTCAGCAGCAAGAGTCTATCACACAAGAGTTTGTGAAACTGGGACCAGTTGAAGGAAAGGCCTGTTGGTTACATTGCTGCAGAAAGGGTGAGCAATAAAAGACTCTTGCTTCTATGTACTGATTCCAGCTGGGGAGGTGGTGGCACAGTTGTAAAATCACTGGACCACAGCCCCTGACAGAACTTAAGCTGTTAATTTTACAAAATCTGGAATTTGAAGCCAGTCCCAATAATGGTAACCATGAAACTACCAATCATTGTAAAAACTTACCTCAATCACTGATGTCTTTCAGAGAAGGTAATCTGACATCTTTACCTGGTTTGGCTTATATGTGACTCCAGATTTGCAGCTATGTCGTCAACTTTTAAACATATTAGGGCAATTAATGATGGACATCTGATGCTGGCATTGCCAGCAACACACACATACACCATGAGAAGAATAAAAAGCAAATTACAGAGCTGAAGATTCCCTCGCACAAGACCATGTATGATAATTGTAACCTGAAAGTTGATTCGAAGGTAGGATTTAAACTCTACTCTTACAAGTCATGAGGTTTCCAAGCTCATGGCTTAGTCTGGATTCACTTGGATGTTCTCTTTGGATTCACTTGGATACTCTCTTCCAGTAGCAATGGTGAAGAAATCAGAGTTAACTTGGCTTTTCTGGACTAGCAGGGTCATTGGTGGGGCAGAAGGGATTCATTAACAAAACTCTAACATTCTGATCATTTTCCAAGGGCTTTTGCAGAGATGATGATGTCAACTGAGTACAAATGATGGCCTCAATGATGAAACATCCTGATTGTACCGTCCAGACACACAACTGCTACCTGAGTTAGATACCAAACAGCTGCTGCGACATGTGGGACTGTAACCCTGTAAGAAATCAACATCTCCAGATATGGGAGAAAATCATGATGATGGGGGGGGGGGAAAAGATTGAAAATCATAAAGGAAAAGAAAGAAACAAAATACAGATCCTGATTACTGCATGGGGAAGTACTAACAACAGGAACCAATAGAGGGCAGTCTGTGATCAATATAAACCTCAGAAAAAGGTTTCCTTCCCTTTGGCCTGGAACATCTGTGCAACTTCATTACAGCAAATTCCCCACGTGACCCCAAATCTCCTACCTGTCACCATAACAGTACGGAAATTGGCTCGATTCAAGCGCTCAATGATGGGCTTCGTTTCTGGCTTCAAGATATTTTGCATGATGAGGAATCCTAGGAATGTCATCTCACTATCCACAAAATTCCTGGTAAAGAAAACACAACTACTGAAGCCTTCAATTCAGCCAGACACTGCAGCTCACTGTGCAACACATGTAGGTGGAACCTATTGTCCTAGAGGTTACACCCTAGTTTCAATGTATCTAAATACTGAAATTAGAGAGGATAGAGCAGTGAAGATTTTGCATAAATGTTGTATTGTTAGCAAGTAAGAATTGCCAAGGCTCATGTTACAGAACAGCAAGAGAATAGTGATTAGTTAAGGCCACATATGTGACATGGGAGGAATAAAAAAAAGGAAGAAAGAGAACGAGCCAGGCCTCTGGAGGTCCTGTGAAAGAAAGAGGAGGAGACAGTGTTCCAAGTCTTAGTTTTAACACAGGATGGAATGGGGGAATTAAGAGTTTGTTAAACTGAGTCTTTAACTGCAAGGAGGGACAAGGGCCAAGGAGTAGCCGATGGAGTTTAATTTAGATAAATGTGAGATGCTGCATTTTAGAAAGGCAAATCAGGGTGGGACTTGTACATAATAATGGTAAGATCCTTGAGTGTCGCTGAACAAAGAGACCTTGGAGTGCAGATTCACAGTTCCTTGAAAGTGGAGTCGCACATAGATAGGATAGTGAAGGCATTTGGTATGCTTGCCTTTATTGGTCAGTGCATTGAGTGTAGGAGTTGGGAGGTCGCATTGCGGCTCTACAGGACATTAGACACCGTTAGAATACTGTGTGCAATTCTGGTCTCCCTGCTATAGGAAGAATGTTGTGAAACTCAAAAGGGTTCAGAAAAGATTTACAAGAACGATGCCAGGATTGGAATGTTTGAGCTATAGGGAGAGGCTCGATAGGCTGGGGCTATTTTCCCTGCAGCGTCGGAGACTTAGGGGTGACCTTCTAGAGGTTTATAAAATCATATGGGGCATGGACAGGATAAACAGGCAGGGTCTCTTCCCTGGAGTAGGGGAGTCCAAAACTAGAGGGCATAGCTTTAAGGTGAGAAGGGAAAGATTTAAAAGGGACCTAAGGGGCAACTTTTATACGCAGAGGGTGGTCCATGTATGGAATGTGTCTGCCAGAGGAAGTGGAGGAGGTGGGTACAGTTACAACATTTAAAAGGCATCTGGATGGATATGAATAGGAGGGGTTTAGAGGAGTATGGACCAAATGCTGGGACTAAATTTATTTAGGATATCCAGTTGGAATGGACGAATTGTACCGAAGGGTCTGTTTCCATGCTGTACATTTCTATGACTCTAATGACTCTAAGAGAGGAAAATTCAGAAAAATTATTACCATAACAGTAGCTACGCACCTTTCTAGCTTATGTACTGCCTCAAAGGTAATGTCTTGACCTAGTGTTTTGTATGCAAGTGCCAAAACTCTGTACCCATCTCTGGCATAGTACCTTAACATTTCTGAGAAATCAGCAGGAACTGTAAGTAAAAACAAACAAGTATATAAGTGAATGGCCTACTTCTGCACCTACATCATATGGACTTATAGGTTGCAAATATAAGCAAATCCACAGAAATATGCCTCTCATTTCAACCAAAGTATAGAATCCCATGGACCAAACTCCTGCTCATTCCACTGACATTTATCACAACCTCATTTTGTTAATTTGTTTTTCCACCCAGTTGATGAGCAGTTGGAACTCATTGCCTGAAGAGTGATAGAGGCAGAAACCCACATCACATTTAAGACACTTGGACGTTAACTTCATGTGCTATAATCTACAAAGCTACAGATCAAGATCTGGAAGGGGGGATAATATTGTATCGTTCTTTTCAGCTGGTTGAGAAACAACAGGCCTGGTGTTCTATCATAATGTACCTGTGTTTTCACCATTAACTACCACACATACTATGATGATACTACTTCTCATTACACTTTGTCCATTGTTTCTTCAAGATTCTCTATCACATGTTACATATCAGAGCTTCCACCATGTTCTCCTTTGTCCTCAGTTCAGTACCTCCCTACAATATGTAGACAGGACCCTCTATAAAGGTTCAAACCTATTTTCCTTACTTCTGCTATCATCATTTCCCCCAAAACTCAGACGTGATAAAGTCTCCTATGGCTTCAGCTTAAACTTAAACCAGCCTTCTCACTGAACTGATTGTTACCCACCACTTCTGCTGCCTCCAAATATGTTCTTTCCTCTTCACTCCACTTTTTGATGTGACCATTTCCCCTCATACATGCAGATTCACTCTTTCACCATCCTTGCCAGCTGCTTCTCCTGCAAATGCAGAAGATACAACATGCGTTCTGCCACATCACTGCCCAGGGCCACCAAACATTTCCTTTGAGTGAGAAAACTGATTTACTTGCACTTTCTCCAACCTACTGTACTTTATCTGCTATTTCCTACACAGTTATGGGACCAAATATATCAGTTAATCATTTTACCAAGCACCCCTATTTTGACCACAAATGTAAACTCAAACTCTGACACTTGCCACTTTAATTCTCAAACCCAATTACACTATGGCCTCTCCAACTCTGCCCGTCAACATTATTTGAATGGAGCACAATGCAAATTCCAGAAATACTTTTCCACTAAGCTAGTTATGGTTCCTCTGGCTTTAACTGCATTCAAGAATGTTGACCTCAATTACAATGGTCTTTTCCGTTTGACAGGAAATACTGGTAATGCAGATTGATTAGTCACTGTTTTGGTGGAAACAGGTTGTTCCTTGGAGTGTGTTCCCATTGGGTCACAGAGCTATCAGGATAGGGTTGTTATGCAATGTTGGTGTAAAATCTTTTAGAACAATTTAGCTAGAGAGCGGCACAGTGGTTAGCACTGCTGCCTCAGTGCCAGGGACCCGGGTTCGATTCCAGCCTCGGGCAACTGTCTGTGTGGAGTTTGCACATTCTCCCAGTGTCTGCATGGGTTTCCTCCGGGTGCTCCAGTTTCCTCCCACAGTCAAAAGATGTGCAGGTTAGGTGGATTGGCCATGCTAAATTGCCCTATATGTTCAGGGAGGTGTAGATTAGGTGGGCTATAGGGGGATGGGTCTGGTGGGATGCTCCGAGGTTCGGTGTGGACTTGTTGGGCCGAAGGGCCCGTTTCCACACTGTAGGGATTCTATGATGATTCTATAGAGACTGAAGCCGTTTTCAGCTTCCCCTTCTACCTGCATTCCGACTCATTCTTAACACCTCAGCTACTCGTGTAAACTGTCTTGTAAAAATCTTTAATATCTCTCATTACACAGCTACTTCTTATCATTCCAGCCATTTAGTCATTTTCTGCCTTAGCCTTAAGCACTTCTTCAGAAGGGTCTAGGCCCGAAATGTCAGCCTTCCTGCTCCTCTGATGCTGCTTGGCCTGCTGTGTTCATCCAGCTCTACACCTTATTATCTCAGATTCTCCAGCATCTGCAGTTCCTTACTATCTCTGAAACAGTTTCCATTAACACCTATTTAACATTTACTACTTCCCTCTGCTTACCGTCAGCGATCCCTTTGTCTACGTCCCTTTTCTCCCTCTCTCTGGACACAGTTTCCATCTATCCATCTCATTCCTTCCTCACATTCTCCATCATCAGCATAAATACCATCTTTTCAATTCAGACAAAATGGTCACTGAATTTGAAACAACAAGGTGTAGAGCTGGATGAACACAGCAGGCCAAGCAGCATCAGAGGAGCAGGAAAGCCGACATTTCGGGCCTAGACCCTTCTTCAGAAATGGGGGAGGGGAAGGGCGTTCTGAAATAAAGAGGGAGAGAGGGGGAGGTGGATGGAAGATGGATAAAACAGCAGATAGGTGGAGAGAGATCCACCTTGTTATCTTAGATTCTCCAGCATTGGCAGTTCCTACCATCTCTGAATCAATTTTAACCCCACTGCGAAGCCTCTTCTAAGGATGCCTACCTTGGAAGAAGTTATCCTCCTCCCTCCTGAAAGACCTCAGTGGATCTCTCTCCACCTATTTTCTCCTTTATCCATCTTCCATCCGCCTCCTCCTCTCTCTCTATTTATTTCAGAATCCTCTTCTCCTCCCCCATTTCTGAAGAAGGGTCCAGACCCGAAACGTCAGCTTTCCTGCTCCTCTGATGCTGCTTGGCCTGCTGTGTTCATCCAGCTCTACACCTTGTTATCTCAGATTCTCCAGCATCTGCAGCTCCTACTATCACTGAACTTGAAACATTCCTTTTTCTTTGCCCCAAAGGTGCTGCCAGACCTGCTGAGTTTCTCTAGCAGAGATAGTAGGAACTGCAGATGCTGGAGAATCTGAAGGAGGGTCTAGGCCCGAAACGTCAGCCTTCCTGCTCCTCTGATGCTGCTTGGCCTGCTGTGTTCATCCAGCTCTACACCTTGTTATCTGAGTTTCTCTAGCACTTTGATTTTGTTTGAGTATCAACCTGAATGTCCTTCCAACACGCTCTAATGGCAAGTGGTGACAGTGGGAGAGATTCATGGTCAGCCATGTGATCGAGAGAAAATTGGATCACTCTGGACTACAACATGCATCCAGTCACAGCATTAATCTCCCTGAGGTTCAGTTGGATGGACAGCCAGAGTGGATCAGATTGGTGCCAACAGCAGGGGGTACGACCCTCACTTCAGTGACGATTGATTCAGAACCTGATTTTCTGCCCTACTGGTGGTGCAGGTTGTGGTGATGAGAGTCAGACCTGCCTTCGGGCCGGGAACTCAAGAAACAAAAAAAAACGTTGTTGATTTGGTAACACCATAATGCCTTACTTCAGTAACAAACCTGGAAACCTTAGAACACGTTGATAAATGGAAAAATTCTTAGGAAAATACAACACCCTCACTGAAATAAAATTCACCAGAGAGGAGGAGAAGAACAAACAGCTCCCATTCCTGGACGTCATGGTAGAGCGCAAGACAAATGGGGAACTCCGAACGAAAGTACACAGAAAAGCCACGCATACGGACCAGGTACTGAACTTCAACATTAACTATCCCAACACACACAAAGCTGCGTGCGAACACTATTTAAACGGGCCACAACACACTGCAGCAACATAGAACTACGCCAAGAGGAAAAAGAATACCTCTTCCAGGTTTTCAAGGATAATGGATATCCAAAAAACTGGGTCAGAAGATGCCTACACGAACATCAGGAAGATACTGCACACCCCGACACACTCATCACACTACCCTACATCAGGAACACATCGGAACTAACCACAAGACACCTACGACCGCTGGGCATCAGAATGGCACACAAGCCCACATCAACCCTACGACAACTGCTCACCCGAACTAAAGACCCAGTCCCCGCCATGGACTGCACCAACATCGTCTACAAGATCCCCTGCAGAGACTGTGAGAAACACTACAATGGACAAACAGGAAGGAAACTAACAACAAGGGTACACGAACACCAACTGGCTACAAAAAGACACGACCAATACTCACTCATCTCAATCCACATGGATAAGGAGAACCACCAATTCGACTGGGACAACACCAAAATCCTGGGACAAGCTAAGCAGAGACAGGCACGGGAATTCCTAGAAGCCTGGCACTCCACAAAGAAAGCCATTAATAAACACATAGAACTTGACCCCATATACATTCCACTACGAAGGAAAACCGGAAGTAAGGCAATCCAGCTCAACGGACTCCAGAGTTTAAAAACCAGATGGGAAAACACACCGACGCTTCATCGGAGGCTGCACTGAGGATGTTACCCAGCAGGGTAACGAAACGTCTGCAGAACAACAAACCAGCTCAGCGAGTCAACCAACCTCAACACCCACAACCCGAGCTACAAATCTACACCAAAACTTTAGCAAAATACACTCTGCAAAGTTCGAATGGGCCCTGATTTTAAGTGTCAGATCATATTCATTTTTTTGAAAATCTGGCTTATTAGGAGCAATAAAATCAGAGCCTATATCACATTTAAGACAGGAGGAGTTGTTGGGTGTCTGAAGGATCAGGGCTTCCTCACTCAGTCCAGTGAGGTGGCTTCCACCATTTTGTTCTCTACACTCACCCCTAACTGAGGTACTTCTACAACTTGCCTAGCTAACCAGAAAGGTTACTTGCAATTCATCCTCCTGATGGTCTTTGACACGGTCTTTGAGGGACTTTACATACACAGGCCACAATGAAGTAGTTTTCTTCATGAGTAAATTACTTCTGTCCATTTTCCTCTGCATTGAAGAAATTGTCCCTCCATCCCTAAAGCATGGAAGAGCATGAAAACCAAAGTACCTCAAATTCATTTTTTTTTGGGGCGAGTGGTGGAGGAGGAGGATGAGGAGGAGGAGGAGGAGGAGGACGAGGAGGAGGAGGAAAATCGCTCGAACATCAAAAATTTAGGCGGTTGTCAAAGTTTAGAATAGCTAAATCGAAGTTTAAAATGCTAAACGTAACAGATTCTAAACATCCTTAAAATTACTTCATACTTTTAGGATATACAATATTGATCCCAAGCTGAGAGTTTTAGTCAATTACCCGTTTCCTTTATACAGAGACTCGCAACCATCTCAGGTGCTCCCTTCAAATACGCTTCTATTGGCAAATTTCCTGGTTTCTTTACGATCACACTCATTCTCTGAAGTGATGAAGCAAAGGGAAAACGGTGAAGAATCCCCAAATTCATCTCTTGTTTCTGCTGGAGTGGAGAAAACAAACATGCAGCAAGTTTGTGGATTGGGCCTTGTTACTTATTCACTTTCAGGAGTTTCATCTTGATTCTGTCTCGTCATATTCAGGAAAGCAGCACAACCTGTAGGTCGACTACCCCACCAGCACAATATCACTTTGAAGCAGCTAACTTACAAATGAAAATGAAACGAAGCTAAAACAAATATTGTCAAGTTTGTGTAGATGGAATTTAAATGGGGGGATTTGTGTCTGAGATTATAACACTGCTAAATACTGTCTTGTCTGCAAGAATTAAGCAATACTTACACTTCCATAAAATGGTTCTTCTAACAGTGGAGGTTTTAAAATGGCCACAACTTTCATTCCAAATTGTGAAACAACATCTGACTTTGTAATCTCATCTGACAGAATCTGAAAGAGTAGATTTTCAATGTAAAGGGAAGTAATTTACAGAATAACTCAATACAGAGAACCAACACAGCTTACATATACTCTCAGCCAAACAGCAGTGAGAACAACTGCACCAAAATGAACAGAAGACATGAACAACTCTGGATCCAGATCAAAGTTATGACAGTTTTCCTAGTTATACTCTTGAATGTTAATACTCCAGGAATCATGCCATAGTGGAAAAGGGTCAGAAATCACATGACAACAGGTTATGGTCCAACAGGTTTATTGGAAAACACAAGCTTTCGGAGCCTCACTCCTTCTTTAAGTGTTAGTCACCTGAAGGAGTCTGGGTCCGAAAGCATGTATTTTCAAATAAACCTGTTGGACCATAACCTGGTGTCATGTGATTTCTGACCTTGTCCACCCCAGTCCAACACCAGCACCTTCATATCATAGTGGAACAGGACATGGGTTTTGTCATATTGATACACATCAAGCAAGCATCAGGGGTTTATCAATACGATGGATTGTGGGAGGGTGGGGTGGTGATTGACGGTTTGGATGCAAAGTAACCATCAGGGTGCTAATGAATTCCTTTTACCAGGTGACTTCAACTTTGCCATCCTCAAGTCACTGCACAGCACCAAGTGACCTTGGTAAAGAATACAATGAGTGGGTAGAAGTGCGAGGCCAACAACGTACTTCTAAATGACTAATTATGTTTGCGATTTACTCTTTTGTTCTGTTAGCTCAGATTCAAGAGTAAGAAATAAAAATGCCATCCTACCCGCATTCTTTAGTCCACTGTTATAACTGCCTGACTTAGTTTTAATTAATGTAAAATATCTCATGACACCATTCAAATAAGACAAAGGCACCCACCCAGCAGTGCTGGCCAATATTGCTGTGTAACTATTTCCACGAGAAGATGTTGTGTAACTCCAAATATAATTAACACAAATATCTGGAAAACTAAGTTTTAACTTTGGGCATTAACCTGCCTATTGTGGATCTTGTAAAGGAAGCTGTATTTTGTTTAACAACAAAAAGAGCGAATCAACTAATTGAAATCTTGCCCTTCTTTTAGAACCACTATTATAACATAGCACATTAGAAAATCCTGTCTCCAAGCCAACTCACCCAACCAGTTGATTCAATCATCTTAAGGTCAAGTGGGTCACCAATTGGTTGATTATTCAAAAGGGTGACACTATGACAGGTGGCTAAAGCATGGAGTATTGGACCACTAACATGCCAGATGTCATGAATAATTGGCTCAAAAGTCTTGTTCACCACAGGTACAACTCCCCAGACGTCCAGGCCTTCTTCTGTAAGTGTTCCAGTCTGAGGGGAAGAGATTAATTTAAAGAATGACTGCTATAATTTCATACACAACAATGCATCAGGGCTTACTGAATTCCAATCAATCATTGTGGTTTATGCCAATCTACCTTACCTTATCAAAGCAGATGACTTTTAGTTTGCCACAGATGTTGATGCGTGGTGGACTAATGCAGAATATCCCATATTTTTTCAATCTGTTCTGGGCATATATTGTCCCAACAGTCATTGCAGCAGGTAGAGCGGGTGGAACAATAATAGTGATCAGATCTAGGACACGTTTCACCAATCGTCCTACTGACACCTGCAGTAAGCAGAAAACACTTTACAGGAGACCAAAAGATGATAAAATGAGCTCTATTAAAGAGCTGATATCCCAAATGAATTCCTGTGCTTAGACTATTGAGTATAGGAGTTGGGATGTCATGCTGAGGTCACTTTTAGAGTACTGTGTACAGTTACAGTCGCCCTGCTTTGGAAGGATATTGTTAAATTGGAGAAGGCTCAGAAAATATTTACAAGGATGTTGCCGCGACTGGAGGGTTTGAATTATAATGGAGAGGTTGGGACATTTTTCCACTGGATGGAGAAGGTTGAGGGGTGGCCTTACATAGATTTATAAAATCATGAAGGGCATGGATAAAGTGAATAGAAACTGTCTTTTCCCTAGGATAGGGAAGTTCAGAACTAGAGGGCACATTAAGATGAGAAGAGAAAGATTTAAAAGGGACCTAAGGGGCAACTTTTTCACAGAGTGGTTCATAACCAGAATGAGCTGCCAGAGGAAGTGGCAGATGCAGGTACGGTTACAACAATTAAAGACATTTTAGAGGTACATGAATCAAAAAGGTTCAGAGGGATACAGGCCAAATGCAGATAAGTGGGCATGATTTAGTTGTGGAAACTTGGCCGGCATGGATGAGTTGGACCAAAGGGTCTATTTCCGTACTGTGTGACTCGGTGAAATGCAACACTTGAAGCACAAATTGGGAAGCACAACATAATCACTAGGATTCCTCAATATATATTCTGTGAAGGGAAGTTCCAGGCTGGTAATAAGCCATTGAAAAAGAACTGGCCATATCAGTTTCCATTGCAACAACCAGTCACTTAAAAATATAAACCGTGGATCTTTCCTCTTAGCATCAAGTGGACTTGGGGGACAGACAATAAAAGGGCAACTGTTTTTCTCAATGAAATCACAACCTCTTCAGATATTACAAGGTGAGCCATTCACTGCAAAAATTCACTTGGAAATGACCATTGAAGTTCAATTTTTAACTACTCTGTAATTAACTGAGCAAGTATAATTTAAGTCAGCAGTTATTACTAAAGTGCTGCAAACCTGCTATAACGCAACAGGGAGATACCCTTATAAGTCATTATCATGTTTGCGATTAAAAAAAATCTCTACTCTGCTCACCGATACCAATGGAAATCTACCCCCAAGCTTTCTCTGAGCATTTGTCATAACAATCATCATTTCAAAATACTTCACATTTAGATTATTGACATAGCCTACCATGGAAATTAAAAGCCTTCAATCGAGTTACTGTTTAGAAATAATTGAGAGACAATATTCTAGAGCCTTGCCTTCCTTTAAATACAAAGGTTCTCCCAAAGCCACAGCAAATTAACAGTGGGAGGTAGCAGGTGGAATTTGAGTTTCTGAAGACAATTGGAGTAATGCAGGCTGGCTGCCATGCACTGTAAATATTGTACTTCATCACTTTAGTTTCTTTTCAACAAAAATTCTAAGATCGGAGGATCAAACAAAATCATTCAGAAATTCCATAACAATTTGCAATCTTCTCCCCACTTCTATGTCCCGAAAATTCCAAGATTTCAGCTCCTGACTATAGCTCCTCTTTCTTTATTGAGGAGAGCCTGATCTCCATGTAATGTCTCCAACACAGGACAACCAAGACAGTTACATACTTGGGGCATCAGTCGAATTTTGGGGCTTACGGTATACCATAATCATGAGCATTTGGAGAATTGAACACTTCGAGAATTGAACACTTCAAGAATTGTATATCAAGTATGATTTTGAGGAAGTGTGACTAGTCTATGATCAAATGTATGAACCCAAAACCTAAAAACATAACTGGCAGTAATAATAAAGAACTCAAAACACTTACCTTCTGCCTCTCTAAAATCACAATGCTGTATATGTCCCCAATCAGAGCTAGAAAAGCAAAAAAAAAACTCAACTGTTAGTCTTGAATTATGCATTATCACAGATTCCACCTCTCAAACCATTTGATTCAATTTCTTGAGTAAGAGTAGAAAAGTAACGGTGGCATCCAGCTTCTTCAACATGTCTCTCCTAAAGGCACCAAGTCATGCTGGGGTCCATTTCCCCAAAGATATCTATTTTGTCAAATGGACATTCTTTATGGATTAACCTAGTTAGTGCTGGAAGGCTATTTGACCAGAAGTGGCATCACAACCAAACTTGACATGGTCCTACCCAAGTCCTAAGTCATTGCTTAAAAAAAGTTTCACTGCTTTATATTGAAACTAGTTTAGATCAGTCTGGAAGAACAGCACTCATGCACAGCACCCTTAAATTTAACCTATCCAATTTGATCCATAGTTTTTATTTTTTATTGTCAATTCTATTGTCAGGAGAAGGGAGCTACTTTTAGTGATGAAATCTATTGGATAACAGCCTCCTGGAATCTAATTTACTGAGAACCATGGTAAAGTGGCTTTGAAAAATATATCTATATTATCAGAGACCACATTCATCTAATCAGAAAGAATTACAAATGTTGCATATCATAATGTCTTGAACATCAATATGTAGGTCAATGCTAAGCAGGGTGCTGCTTGAGAGCACTGTTGATGACCCTTCCGTCACTTTACTGATGATTGGCCAAATTGCATTTGTTCTGCATTCTGTTAATACAGGACATACCTGGCCAATTTTCCACTGTTGGAACAAAGGTCCAATCCCTGGCCTAGAGTGGGAATATGCTGGGCCATGACGTTGCACACTTTCTCACTGATGTCCAGTCTTGAGCTGTTAGATTTGTTCAAAGTCTATTCCATTTGGCACTGTGATAATGCCACAAAACATGATAGAGGGTTTCTTCTATGTGAAGGCATAATTTCATTTCCACATAGACTATGCAGTGATCACTCCTACAGATATTGTCATGGGCAGACGCATCTGCAGCACGCAGATTGGCGAGGATGACACCAAGTAAAGGTTTCCCTCTTGTTGGTTCCCTCATCTGCTGCAGACCCAGACTTGCAGTTATTTCCTTTAGGATTCAAACAGCTTGATTAGTCATGGTGCTGCCAAGCCACTCTTGATGATCAGTGAAGTTCTGGACCCAGAGTACATTCTGCAGCCTTGCTACCCTCAGTGCTTCCTCCACATGGTCTTCAACATGGAATATTGATTCATCAGCTGAAGATCTCCTTGTCCATGTTTGACCTGATGCCATGAGATGCCACTGAGTCAATGTTAAGGGTGCCTAGACAATCTCTCCCAACCAGATATTACTGTGCCACCACCACTGCTGGTTCTGTCTTTCTAGTGAGACAGACATAACCAGGGGCAGTAATAGTGTTTTCTGGGATATTGCAAGTTACCCTCCATGCCACTCACCATCCTGACTTGGAAATATATTGCCATTCGTTCTGTGTTGCTGGATCAAAATCCTGGACCATCCTCCCTAACAGCACTATGGTTCTATCTACAGCACATGGAGTGCAGTAGTTCAAAGCAGCAACTCTCTGCCATATTTTCAAGGGCAACCACAGATGGGTAATAAATTCTCATCAGCAATGCCCACATCTTGTGAATTAATAAAAATAAAGTAAGAATCAAGCACATTGCCAGTTCTGAGGAAGGGTCACTGGACCCGAAATGTTAACTCTGTTTTTCCCTTCACAGATGCTGCCAGACCTGCTGAGCTTTTCCAGCAACTTTGTTTTTGTTTCAACCACATTGCTGTTGTTCTGGAGTCACATGTAGGCCAGAATAGGCAAAGACAGCAGGTTTCCTTCTGAAAGGACATTAGTGAACCAAATGGGTTTTTACAACAATGGTTTCACTGTCATTAGATTTTTAAGTCTAGATTTTTTTTAAAAATTGTATTAATGCTGAATGTACCCTGGTGGAATTTGAATCCAGGTCCCCAAAACATTGCCTGGGTCCCTGGATTACAAATCCAACAACAAACCACTAGGCCATTGTCTCCTTCCCTAAAAAAGCGAGGGAGGTTCCATCACTTGCATACACCAAAAGCGCAACTCTTCCCTTCACAAATGAAAAACAGCTTACCGAGTATTGCAAGGAAGATGATAAATTTCACAGCATCTTTGTAGAACTTAAATCCTAGAGGTTTTGGGTACAGAATGGAACTGATCAGTTCTCCTTTAGCAGTACAAAAGCCTGGAGGAAATAAAAAAAGAGAGGGGAGTTGTCACTGATTGGAAAATGTTTAAACAAAAGATGTACAAAATTGATGATGGGGTGGAATTTCATTACATTTGACTACTACACGTTGACATGCATCATGCCAATTCCTGTATCAGAGCTAAAAAAGAAACCTCTTCCACCTTTGTTCACATTTCAAAGTAAAGTTTGATTCTGAATTGAATTTACTTTGAACTGTAATTATTGGAGGACTGTATTTTAATACAATGCCTCAACACCACCCATTAAAAAAAATTTTCTACACCTCCTATGCATGAAAATAAAATCCACTAGCCAGTAAAAGCTAACCTGATGAGACTCAGGTCAGGTGCCCCAAGCAGAAAAGAATGCCTTGCATTGAGAAGGCTGCTATCCTTTAGTGGGTCACCTTTTAATTCAGAATACTAGTAAGAGGTCTGGTGCCTTAGAAGCATTTTGTTTCTGCGACCAGTAAAAGCAATTTTTTTGGCAATTATATTGGAGAATATACACAGTTGGAGAATCCTGCCTCAAAGTATATAAACCTTCAATTTATATTTGTACCTTAACACTTAAAACTTTTTTATAATAAGTCATGCAAAACTTCAAAATTAAAAGGCTTTCACCATGAAGTAAGTAACACTTTCCCAGCAATACATCTCATTTCTGGCTGAAAGGCATAGAAAAATACTCATTCTCAAACCTTTACCTAGCATCATTAACCTTTGCCATTTATGGTGTCCTGCCTTCCAAACTCCATTGAGCTTCCTCCTTTGAGCTATTCCCTTTTCCACACAAAGAAGTATCCCATCCTACCTCTTTCCCTGGCTCTAACAGCTTCCCACACTGTTAAATTTGATTTCTTCCAATTCCGAGGACAGGTCTGTGGACTGAAGCGTTAACTTTGCTCCTCTCTCCACAGATGCTGTGTCATCCAATGAGTATTTCCAGCTTCTACAGTTTTAAGTTCTGCCTTTACCACCTGAAAATTAGGTGTGTTTCAAAATCACTTCCGCCACTTTGTCCTTCTCCATTTTTAGATCAGCAATCTTCAGCGGTGACATTTCTTGGAATAAAACCCTATACCACCAAATTTCAGATCACGTCCTGGGTCCTCAGATCAAGGTTTGAGATCAGGCAACGAGAATACAAAAATAAAACAGTGTTCTCATATAACATATCGGCAGGCTCATGGGATACATATGCTTTGTGGTTTACATGGCAGAGCTCACTGCTATCAGTCCATTGACAATATCTATTCCTAGGCATGTCTTGAATTAAAACTGCCATTTATAACACAAGAAAAAGGAGCAAGGATAGGTCATTCAACAAGATCATGGCTAATTGCCTCAGGCCTCAACTCCTCTTTCACGTCAGTTTATTACAGCCCTGGACGTCTATTTCAAAATCTACTCTTTTTCATTACTTCCAGTGATCTAACCTTCACAAATCTCAAGTAGAGAATGCTAGGCATTCACTACCCACAGGGAGAAGAATTCCTTCACATCTCAATTTAAATGTTCTGTAACTATGTCTCTAGTTTGAGATTCCTTAGCTAGTGGAAATATCTTCTCAGAGTCATAAAGTAATAGAGCATGGAAACAGGCCCTTCAGCCCAAACTGGTCCATGCTGACCATGGTGCTCACTCAGCTAGTTCCAATCGCCCTGATTTGATCCGTATCCCTCTAAACCCTTCCCATCCAAATGTTTTTAAAATGTTCCTTTTATACCTGCCTTAACCACTTTCTCTGGCATCCCATTCCATATATGCACCACTCTCTGCATGAAGAAGCCCCTCAGGTTCTTCTTAAATCTTTCCCCTCTAGTTTTCAATTCCCCATCTCTGGGAAAAAGGATGAATGCATATAGTCTACCTATGCCCCTCATGATTTTATACACCTCAATAAGGTCACCCCTCATTCTCCCACGTTCTAAGGAATAAATCCTGTCCAACCACCCCTACAACTCAGGCCAACAAGTCCTGGCAACATCCTTGTAAATCTTCTTTGCACACTTTCCAGTTTAACTATGTCTTTCCTATAGAAGGGTGACCAAAACTGTATACAATATTCCAAGTGCAACCTCACCAACAACTGTTACAACTGTAACATAACGTCCCATCTCCTATGCTCAATGCCTTGACCAATGAAGGTCAGCATGCTAAATGCCTTCTTCACCACCCTGTCCACCTGTGACGCCACTTTCAACGAACTATATACTTGTACTCCTAGGTCCGTCTGCTCCACAACACTCCTCAGGACCTTACCATTTGCAATTTTAAAATCCACCCCCTTAGCAATTAAGGCCAAAATGTCACATGCCTTCTTAATTACTTGCTGCACTTGTAAGTTAACTTATTAAACTAACTAATTTACCTGACCCCTGGCTCTACCCATTCAGTACCTGTTCTCACGACTACAGCCACCACCTGCTGATCCACATTGTAGGTCTTTGACTGGAGGACCTCAGTTCCACAGAAGAGTGTGTGCCGTTTGTGTTCTTCAGGTGAATAGTACATGTCCTGATCGGATAATGGGGTTTTCATCACTGGTATGCTCTCACCTGCCAAAATATCAGAGCAGCATTGAATCCTTTGCTGAAAGTATGTTTCTTACTGTTACTGCAGTGAAAAAAGTCTTCCACATCCTACCAATGTGTTCATAAATAGTGATTTAATAGTACAGAACTAGAGTATTACTGAAGAAAGGGCACATTTTGTCAAAGCTTTATATCGTGCGCATATCAGGACAATCAGCAAGAATAGGAAGCCAAAGGAAAACAACATTTATATTGTTATGACAGGACAGTGCAGATTGGTTAGCATGTAGACTCTAGTAGAGGTGTTGCCATGGAGAACACGACTGTAATGACAATTAGCAGTTAACTGCCGCTTTGTTTACATTTTAAACCAGGAAAATTGATGCTGATTGGTCAGGGCATTGCACAAAATTGAACCAGTGAACGTCTGTTACCTATTTTGCTGAATTGAAACAGGCACAATGCATGTACATGGTTTTTCCTGTCTGTAAACATTGAACACTGCCCTGCTTTCTAATCCATGTAGCTTCCAGTTCATGCAAGTGCACCACACTGCAAATCTGACTGACAATATAAGTTGCTTGTTTGGGTAATCCTTTGCATAATCAATTATTTAGAAAAGGTTGTCCATTTTCAGAATCACATTTAACATTGGACAGTGTGGCAAATGTAGCTTAGTTGGGCATGGTCAGTACCTTATCTGTTGCAAACAGCTGAAGGAATATGCTATTTCACTCAATCTGTTGGTCTTTGGGACATACTACATATATTCTTGGCATCAAACCAGTACCAAAATTCATGTACCACATTACTCATTTGTGTGACATACACTAACAGGCTAGTGCTGTTCTGCAAGATACCACTCACGTTGCTAATGCATATTAGCATCATGAAATATCTAGCTTCACCTGTTGCTCAAACCTTTGAGATAGTTTACTTTTCCAGAGCAATGAAAGGTAGACTGTGTACTTTTCAGAATGTAAAGCGACAGTTTTAGGGCCATTCATGAGTTTATACAATAAACATAGAAATAATATACTCACGATAGACATTATCATGCAGGATGGCTTTGATGGGCCCTATTTCAGCAGTAAGCTTGCAAGGTGAACACATACCTTGAGTCTTATTTACTCATTCACAAACTTCACCTCTACTTGAAAATATATTTGTGTTGACTTTAAATGATATATAGAATTGAGTTTTGAAGGTCTTTAAAATGCATCTTTCAAGCTCACATGAAAAATCACCTAGAAAAGATTCTATAAAGGTGGCTGGCATCAGTGGAACCATACAATAGTTAGCTAACACCTTCAGGAAAACAAAGAGGTTAAAAAACTACATCAGTTTGTTCCTCACCTGTAAGCATGCTCTCATTAACCATGCACTCTCCAGTTAGGAGGACTGCATCACATGGGACTTGAATCCCATCTTCAGGAATCACAATGCAGTCACCGGGTACTAAATCCTGAGAATTCACGATTTCCTCTTCTATAAAACAGACCAGTATGTCAATAATCAATGCGCTACAGATAACTAGCTGGTGAGGAATTATGGAATCGCTCAAGGTCAAGGTTACAGGCTAGATTAAGGAAAACCACAGAATTTGTTAAAACCTAAAATACAATGGTGAGCTTGCGAGAATGAGTAGTTTTACAAAAGATGCAAATAAACTAAATAGGATAGAAAGGAGTCCGCAAAATCTCATGCAAACGTTTAACTGTCTAATGCCTTTTTGTGCTATTTGAGTTGACACCTGTTGCAACAGCTGTTTCAATATTCCCAGTCACCAGCTGAAATCAGTTAACACAGTACGGTTAAGGGACTGAACTGGAGACCTTGATCTCTAGAATTTAAGTATTTGAATGGGTAGTCCATTCCTAATAACCAGGATCAAAAATACTCTCATTGTTTTAAGCACCATCTCCAACTTGCTTACCACTGAAATGTCCCTTACGCAGGGAATCCAGCATAATATTATTCAGTTTAAATAGAAACAGCATCACTCACCTCCAGATTCCCGGTGGATCCGCACATGGACTGTAAGCTTCACCATATCCCGTAGTATTACACTTTGCTGCACACAAAGGAAATAATTTCAGTGACTATGTCACAAAGCATTGATTTAGATCCCCATGTCCAATAATTAGCCAAATATTGAACTGTACTTGGATTGACAGACAAAAGAAGGTAACACTACAGTGGGGCATACAACTTCAGCACTCCCACTCATACTGCAAGCATGTGCATTTTAATGTTTTTGCTTTCACTTTCAACAAATACATGCAGTTGCATGTTTATTTAAAGGACCCAGTGCTGTACTGTCTCAGTCATTGAATGGAGTTATGGTGTTTAAGAAAATATATCCATGTGACACACATATTCCTTCTTCATAAGAGTGAAAGGCATCTCCTACTAGAATTAATCTACATGGCTAAAACAATGGTGTTGTACGTATTCTGCAATTTCTATTCCGCCCATACAAACCTCACATTCACGCGCCTTCAATTCAGATAACTTGCATGTTCCAATTTTATTGCTCCTTTGTTGTCAACTTGCCTTCGACTCAACGACTAAGCTCTGGCATTCCTTCACTAAACCCCTTTGCCTCTCCATTTTTTTTCTTCTTTAAAACACTTCTTAAAACCTACCTCCAAAATCAAATATTCTGCCCTAATTCCTCCTGTGTGGCTCTGTCAAATTTTGTTTGATGATGCTATGGTGAAGCACCTTAGGGCAATTTACTACATTAAATACATTATATAAATGCAAATTTGGAAGCAATGTAGTAATTGCAAATATCAAATGGCAGTGTGTGTGTTAGTAATCAATGACACTGAGAAAACAAACAATAAAAGTAATGGGTAAAGCCATTTTTTTTAAAAATCCCAATTTACTTCCTTTCGTTCCAGAATGCCAATTCTCAATAGAATGCATTCCACCATGGATAAGGAGAATCCTCTGGTACAGTGTTGAAGTTGTCACTTTTCCTTTGAATATAGGTCATCCTAACTCTGACCTAACAAGTGGCCTTCAAATTCATAGACTAGAATCCAAAACATGTCAGTTCTACCAGTGCTCATTTCTCTTCTTAACCTGACTTCTCCAGTTTGATTTTTGTGAAATTTAGAGCTTTGTAAAGTGCTATGTATAACATTAATGGATAATATTAAGTTAAACCCTAAATCAGGACTGAGAGGGGTAACAGGTATCAGCAGCTTGAAACACATGCAACTTCATAGAAGAATGGATTTAAACTTTGGGTGAAACTGAGGCTCCACAGAACTCCTTTATACAGTATATAAAGACAAAATCTTTGATAACCTTGGTATTAACAGCAAAGGTTTGGTTGTTAAATCATGAAGTATATCACAGTCAGACCTGATTCTTCTTCAACTAACTGAGGCACTTTCTAGTGATCACTGAAAAGGAGTGCCCTGGTAGATGTATCCATCCCCTGGATCCAAGGCAGTGCACCCTGGCTAAGATCAGCTGGAGTCTGGAAATATGACTTTGAATCTCATGTCTGCAAGGTTCAATACCATATCACTGGGTATATTTGCAATGGCATCAGTAATGTAATTGTAATGATGACCTAAACCAAAATATTTTGGAGAGGTGTCTTTAATCTCAATAGTTCACAATAGTTCAAACTTTACTGCCTTGGTGCATGGTACAATACAAAGCACTTCATTTGCTTTACGGCCATGTAACTTTGTTACTTTTCTTTTGTGGGGACTGCTAAAAGAAAATTGCAAAATACTAGAAATATGAAGGTACACCACATGATAGAGAGGTTGGTCCTCGCTGAGTTTACACTCTTCATTCAGCAAATAACGTGCACCAAACGGCATCTTTTACCTGCACAAATGCTTCACGATTTCAAAGTTTGAAGGACGTTCATTTCAGCAGGGGCAGGGATAAGAAAGAAAGGAAATCAACATCCCACTCCCTAAACGTAAAATTTGGTCTGAATTTTATAGCATGGGACTGCATGGATTGGCAGCTAATCTAGCTCTCCATTTACCAAACTTCCCCATTAATTAAAAACCACTATGTAACGGTCTCAAAAGCTCTCATTTTACAAAGTATGCAACCAGTAAAATATAGATAACATTTCTACATTCCAAGTTGAGACAGATTTAAGGTTACTTAAGGCACTGAGCCTGAGCAGCAATTGTATTTCTCTCTCTCCAGGTGTGTATGTTACCTCCGATATACAAGAAAACTTGCAGCCAATATTAGCTGCAAATGGCTATCAAGGAGAATGAAAAGCCTAGCCTTTATACATAACTCTAAAAACAAAATAAAATTCCAAGACATCCAAATACTTGGGTGATTGTATTGCATCTATGAATTAGTGGAAATTTGGCAAATGACTGTTTCCCTGTTAGCATGCAATATTCATATAGATTTTATATACACAAAACCCAACTTTACTGCATATTTAAAAAATGATATCAAAGCACCAAACTAATCTTGGTTCCAATAACAGGTCTCCAGATCCATCACACAAAAGCCAACTGAGCAGATTGTCCCTTCATGTTGTACCTTGTGTGTCTGGTACAGGGATATACCAATGGATATTACGGAGATGAGCAGAATGCACCCGGCATAGTAGTAATATTGTTCTGTGATCCAAAGTATAATACTGAAGATCTGGAAAATGTAGAAAGGATTCAGCACCTGAAACGAAAATCAAATTAAGTTTTAAAACTGCAGCACACAGCTTCAGAACTGAATAAGAAATTGTGCAAGCTGAAAACAATCACAGAAGGGCACTCTGAAGGTCAACAGGGCTGCTATTCATCTTGGCCAGTGTGCTTTTTTCTTGCCCATTGTTAAACATGCCAAATTACAGCAAGGTTCCAAAATATCATGTAGCCCCCAGCACCTCAATCAATGGTTAATTCGCCATTTATTAACCTAGACACTCTCTACACTAGCCTAGTTCAATAATGTCCTCACCATCAGTATCCATATGTACGTACGTACAAACATACAAGTGCATGCATAGAGCAAGTTGTCAATGGGCATTCATCAACTACAAAAACTAACATTTTCCTTTTCCTAACCCAGACACATCAAAACTAATGAATGCCCCACTACCACAAGGTCCAGATAGCTAACTCGACATAAATCAGGGGTTGAAAAAATGTTTTCATCAAATAAGTGGTGCTGCAGAAAACCACTGTAGGGAGGATGGCAAACTGACCAGTGCACTGTGGTACAGGAGGCCACTTAAGTGAGGGGAGCAAAAAATGGTAGCGATAGGGGATTCTAACTAAGGGCAGAGACAGCAAACTGGATCAAAAGTCCTGCATATTGTTTTGCCTGTCTGGCGCAAAGGTAAGATACATCTCAAACTGGGTTAAAAGAATACTGGAGTGGGAGGATCCTGTTGTTGTGGTCCATTTTGGGATCAACATAAAAGAGCACACAAGAAGTCCTTTTAGGGAACATCAGTAATTTGGAACAAAATTAAAAGAACAGGACCTCAAGGGTTATAATCTCTGGATTATTACCTGAGCCGCATGTAAATTGGTATTGAGATTAGAAAATTAGGGCAGTAAACACTTGCCTAAAAGGAGTGGTGTGGGAAAGTGGGGTCAGTTTCCAGGGGCAATGGCATCAACATTGGGACTGAAAGGAACTCTACCATTGGCCAGACACCACCTAAACTGATCTAGGACCAGGATCCTAGCAGAAAGGCTAAATAGGGTGGTCTGAAGGACGTTAAACTAGTTAAAGATGGGAGAGGGCTCAGGAGAGATTATTAAATTTTCTAGGACAAGTAATTGGGCAGAGCATGGAAAGGGCCAGGAACCTAACTTCAAGCACAGCAGATAAGGAGACAACTGTAAGAAATGGTGCATTTAACAAAGGACTATGGGTGTTGTTTTGTATACTGCATGCATTTAAATAGAGAGTAAATGAGCTTGTAGCACAGATAGAAATTGGCGGATACAATGTGGTTACCAGAGACATAGCTGTAAGTCTATTAGGGCCAGGAACTAAATATTCAAGGATACACGTCCTATCAAAATGACAGGCAGAGGCGGCAGAGACAATAAAGGACTGCAGATGCTGGAAACAATAGTCTATAGGTGTGAAGCTGGAAAAGCACAGCAGGTCAGACAGCATCCGAACAGCAGGTAAGTCAATGTTTCAGGCCAAAACCCTTCATCAGGTCTGGGGAGGGAAAGCTCAGAAATAAGTTGAGAAAGGGGGAGGGTGGGGCTGAGGGAACAGTGGGAGACATGGTGATAGGTGGTTGCAGGTAGAGGGTTATGGGGATTGCTCTGTGGAAAAAGGGAGCAGATAGGTGAGTGGGAAGATGGACAGGTTAGGTCAGGTCAGGTCAGGAGGGGGAGGGTTGGACATGGGATAAGGCTGGGATGTAGGGATTTTGAAGGTGCTGAACTCAATGTTATGGCTATTGGGCAGTAAGCCTCAAGGCAAAATATTAGGAGTTGTTCCTCCAGTTTATATTTGGCCTCATTTTGACAGTGGAGGCGGCCAAGGATGGACATGTCAGGGGAGCAGGAGGGGAGAATTAAAACGGCTAGCAACTGGAAGGTCCAGTTGGTTGTTGTGTGCAGAGTGCAGATGATCCACGAACTGGTGCCCGAGTCTGCGTTCGGTCTCCCTGATATCAAGGGGACCACAGGAGCAATGGATGTAATAGATAAGGTTGGATGAAGTGCAGGCGAATCTCTGCCAGATAAGGAAGAATTGTTCTGGGCCTTGGACGGAGGAGAGAGTGGAGGTGTAGCACCTCTTGCAGTTGCAGGAAAAGGTACCAGGTATGGCGGAGGAATTGGTGTGGAATGTAGAGCTGACAAAGGGAGTAATGGAATGAACAGTCCCTGCAGAAAGCAGATAGGGGTGGGGAGGGAAATATCATTTTGTGGTGGGGTCTGATTGTGGGTGGTGGACATTTCGGAGGATGATGTGTTGGATTGGTGGGGTGGCATGTGAGGATTAAGGGGCCTCTATCTTTATTGCTATGGGGGGGGGGGTGTGGTTTGAGGGCAGAAGTGTGGGAAATGGAGGAGATACGATTGATGGCATCCTTAATTACAGAGGAGGGAAAATTACCTCTAAATTAGGAGGATATCTGGGATGTCCTGGAGTGGAACGCCTCATCCTGGAAGCAGGTGTGGCGGAGGCAGAGGAATAGGGAGTATGGAATAGCATTTTTGTAGGAGAGTGGGTGAGAGGAGGTGTAGTCGAGCAGAGGAAGCGGGATTGCCTTGTTAGTAAGAAATTAAATTAAAATCAATAGCAAAAAGCAATAGAGTGTCAGAAGGTGTAGAACCTGTGTGGGTAGAGTTGAGGAACTGCAAAAACAAAAAAGACCCTGAAGGGAAGTTATGTTCAAAACCCACCCAGCAGTAGTCAGTATGTGAGGCAGAAAATCAATCAGGAGATAGAAAAGGCTTGCAAGAAAGGGACTATTACAATAATAGTTCTGACGAAGGGTCACCGGACCCGAAACGTTAACTCTGTTTTCTCCTTCACAGATGCTGCCAGACCTGCTGAGCTTTTCCAGCAACTTTGTTTTTGTTCCACTATTACAATAATCGTGGGGGACTTCAATATGCAGGTGGACAGGTGACACATAATCAAGAAAAAGGAATTCGTGGAATATCTATGAGACGGTTTCTTTGGAGCAGCTTGTGGTAGAGCCCATTATGAAACAGACAATTCTGGATTTGATGATGTGTATTGAAGCAGAACTAATTAGGGAGCTTAAGGTGAAGGGTTCCCCAAGAGGGCAGGGACCACAATTTGATGGACTGCAGGATAAATTCTGAGAGGGGAATCTCTAATCAGATGTAACAGTATTACAATTGAGTAAAGGTAAGCATGAAGACCTGGGGAAGGAGGTGGCCAGAGTTGACTAGAAGGGCAGACTAGTAAGGAAGACGGTGGAGCAGCATGAGCAGGGGTTTCTGACGGGTAATTTAGGAGGCACAGCAGAAATTCATTCCAAGGAATAAACATACAAAAGGAAAGGATGAGGCAACCATTGCTGGCAAGGGAAGCCATGGACAGCTTAAATCAAGAGTATACAATGTCGTGAAGATTAGTGAGAAGCCAGAGGATTGGGAAGCCTTTAAAACCAACGGAGGACAACAGAAAAAAATAAAGGGGACGATGATGAAATACAAGGATAAGCTAGCTTGTAATATAAAAGAAGACTGCAAGTGTTTGGTTAGGTTTGTGTAAAGATAAGAGAGCTAAAGTAGACATTGGACACTGGAAAGTTAGGCTGGAGGAGTAGTAATGGGGAACAAAGAAATGGAGAAGGAACTGAATAGGTACTTTGCATCAGTCTGCGGGGTGGAAGATACCAGTAGAGTACCAGAACTTCAAGAGAGTCCGAGGGCAGAAGTGAACGTAGTGGTCATTACTAAGGTGGTGGTGATGGGAAAGCTGAAAGGTCTAAAAGTGGATAAATTGCTCAGACCAGATGGGTCACACCCCAGGGTTCCAAAGGAGATAGTGGAGCTTGTAGATGCATTGGTGGTGATCTTTCAGGAATCACTGGAGTCAGGGAGGGTCCCAGAGGACTGGAAAATGTATAATGTACTATCTCTGTTTAAAAAAAGGGAGAGACAGAAAATGGGAAATTACAAGTCATTTGTAATATTTTAGAGCTCATTATTAAGGATGAGATTGCAGAGTTCTTATTGTGCATGATAAAATAGGCCTGAGTCAGCATGGCTACAAAGGGAGCCTGACCAGGGGGGCTTGATGAATCTATTAGATTTCTCCGAGGAGGTAACAAGGAATTTAGACAGAAGGAAACCAGTAGACGTGAATTATTTGGATTTCCAGAAGGCCTTTGGCAAGACATCACACAGTTGCTGCTAAATAAGATACGAGCCCACGGTGTTCAGGACAATGTACTGGCATGGCTAGAGGATTGGCTGACTGGCAGAGTGTGGAGGAAAAGGGGTCTTTTTCTGGATGGCAGCTGGTGGCTAGTGGATTCCACAGGGGTCAATGTTGGGACAACTATTCAAATTGTACATTAATGATCTGGACAAAGAATATAGGGCATTGTCGTTAAATTTGAAAATGACACAAAAAATAGGTGGGGGAGACAACTAGTGTTGAGGAAGCAGGGAGGCTGCACAAGGACTTCTAAAGACTAGAAGCGTGGGCAAAGAAGTGACAAATGGAATACAATGTGGGAAAAGCATGAGAGTACGCATGTTAATTGGAAGAATTGAAGCACAAACTATTTTTTAAAATGGGAAAGGCTACAGAAATCTGAAGCACAAAGGGACTCAGGAGTTCTAGTTCAGTACTCTTTGGGTTAATGTGCCGGTTCAGTTGGCAGTTAGAAATGCAAATGTAATGTTAACATTCATTCTGATAGGGCTAGAATACAAGAGAAGAAATGTACTGTGAGGCTGTATAAGGCTCTGGTCAGACCACCTTTGGAATATTGAGACCAGTTTTGGGCCCTGATTGAAACTTAAAGAATACTGAGAGGTTTGGTTGGAGTGGAAAGGGAGAAGGTTGTTCCAGTAGTAATAGACCCTAGGAGCTGAGGGCACAGACTCAAAATAAAGGCAACCCTTTAGAACTGAGGTGAGGTGGAATTTCTTCAGCTAGAGGGTGGTGAATCTGTGAAACTCATTGCCGTAGAAAGTTGTGAAGGCCAAATTATTGAGCGTATTTAAGACAAGAGATAGATAGGTTCTTCATTAGTAAGGGGATCAAGGGTAACAGGGAGAAGGCAGGAGAATAGGGTTACGAATTATATCAGCCGTGATCAAATGGCAGAGCAGGCTTGATGGGTCGAATGGTCTAATTCTGCTCCTGTATCTTATGTCTGACTCTCCTTGGTGAACAGCTGTGTGGTGTACTAGTGCTTCCTCCTACCTTGTAAAAAAGTGACAAGTTCCCATTTCCACATGTGCACAATAGCATGAATGAGATCAGGTGAATGCTCTCGCAAAAACCTGTCTCCAAGCACAAAAGACATTGAGGCTCTGAAATTTTGCCAACAAAATACTGCAACGTGAGCAACATAATTATACTATCCACCTGACCCCAAAAGGCTGGACTGTTTTCTAAGAAAAAGACAGATTTCAACTCACCTCCTCTATTAGCAGCCTAAAGTATGACTTTACAGGCACATCAATTACATTTGGTCCATACACCAGTCTTCTGCAAGAGAAAAAAAGCTATTGGCATGGTAGGCACAATTCTGTACCTGATCAGATTCCAAACACAATTATCTGCACCATTAACTATCTTTGTGCAAATATGGAAGTCAAATGAAAGCATTTTAAGTACATAAATATTACAGACTTTACAGTGGCTTGTGTAGTTATCTTCCCATCTCTGCTTCTACTATAGCTTTAAACACTAACTGTACAAAATTCATTTCTATATTATGTCCTCATCTCCTAAAGAGATGTAATCTTGCTGCACTGTATCTCCATGTACAAATAGCTCTCATATTTTGCCCAAGTGCAAATCTAGACAATGAATGTAGGCAAACCATTGATCCAGAGTATATCACAGCCAAGTCCAATCCTACTGTCACCTACTACCTTTCTAAATTCACTTTCCAATCACAGTCATTAATTGTTTAGTGATTGGGACCTAGTACCTTGGTTGTAATTGCACCTCATTGCCCAAAAATTCTGGAAGCAACTGTAGTACTGCAACTGAAATCAAATAAAATATTCATGACTCAGATTGATCTTAAGTAAGGGTACCATGAGGCATACAGGAAAGGCAGATACACGGAGTTAAGAGGTTGAATGACTTTGTTCTTATGTTCGAATAACCACGGCAACAGATAATAGCTAACTCAACACTGGTCAGCAATTGAGCATGTACATTCTGGAGATGCATCTCTCTCCTTTTGCTCTGTGTTCAACTACAAAGTGGAAATTCCAGCTTTCCCTAATGTGTATGGCCCAGCATCAAAAAATTCCTTAAATAGTAATTATTCTAGGAAACTAGTTCTCCACTTATTTGGGTACAATTGAGCTACATGGTCATTTCTTGGGGCTTTCTAACAAACAGCCATTCATTTAACTGAAAGCTAAAGGCATGCTATTCTGTAGAGTTTTGCCAACTGTTGATTGTCAGAGATATTTCAGCAATACATTCCATCTGTTCAAATACAACTAATCTTCAGAATGTGCCAAGTACTCACTTTGAGTTTTGGTTATGTCGGCTGAGTCCCCTCCGTTGCCTGTGAATGTCTCCACATGTCAGCGTTTCTTCAAGAACGCTGCAAATGAATAAAAATACTGATCAGCTTGGAAACACACCTTCTATAAAGGCCCTGCACTTTTCCTTTTGGAAAATGTCCCAAAGTGAGACATACAGATGAACTAGGAGGGTTGATCAATGTTAAATCCTTGGGGGTCATTGATAGTAATAATGTAAAAATATAAGGGGTAGCCACCACTGGTCAGATTTTAACTACAATTTGACAAATTGAAGTAAAGCTGGATAAGTTCAGTTGTGGGAAAAGTTGCAAATAAAGAAAATGAATTAATAGCCAGTCATAGAGAGAAGAATGTACAAAGAAAAGGATATTCCCCACTAGCAAGCTTATTCATCTAAAGACCACATATATATTCTTTGTCAAGTATTCTTCCCAATCCTCTTAAACGCCTAATAACTGCAAGTAAAACCTCTAAGGAAGGGGGTGGGGCAAAATGGTAATGTCACTGGATGAATAACCTGCCATCCTTACCTGGTTTGGCCAACATCTGATTCCTCAGCACTGCCTCTTCACCGCCTTGTGGCAAATTAGGGATTGACAATAAATACTAATGTAGGCAATGGGCCCACATTCCATGGACAAATAAAACAATTAAGGAAATAAAACTCAAATGTCTCAATTGCAAAAGTAATCATGTAAAATTATTGAGCCAATCTGATTCAAGCAATTATATTCCACAAACATCTATAAACCAGGCAGCACAAAAAATGGAGCCTTGATCATTTCATAATCACTGATCTGAATCTTTCCAAGTTTCACACAAGATTCAGTCGGGAATGAAGCACACCATTCAAATCACCAAAACTAAGACAGAAGTAAAAGTCTGAAACCACAAAATTGTGGAATTCTTTCACTCCTTCAATTTTCCTCCTTTTTATAGCTTCCCAAACCCCAGGCTTGACATCATCTAATCAGTGCTTCTTGATTTAGCTCATTGCTATTTATCCTTTAAACCTTCAATAACATCCTGCACTAGGAATCATCTGTTTATTTTCTCCTTTCAGAAGCATCTGAAGACAACAGCAGAAAAGCTCAAAACCAGAAACACCAACAACCAAACTTGTTGGATCTACATGAGCACTGGTGCTGCTACACCCCTGACCTCAGCACTTGCCCTTTCATACTCTACATCCATCAGACACAGGTGATCAGAATCATTTTGTTGACACTCAACTAATGCAACAGTGTGCATCATAACTAGAACTATCCACTCAACACCTCTTCCTGGCTTTCTGTCCTTGCAAACATTACTCCCTCACATATCCATCAACTAGGAAAGGCCCAAAAGAAACTTGAAAACATCTGTGCTGCACCTCATTTATTACTCCATAATAGTCAGAAAAAAGCCCTCCGTCCACCATGTCCATGTTGATAAAAAAACCCACAATTATTCTAAACCCATTTTCCAGCACTTGGCCCAAAGCCTTTTATTCTTTGGTATTGCAAGAGCACATCTAAATAAAATGTTATGAGGGGTTTTGCCTCTATTCACCCACCACCCTCTGAGTGAAAAAATATTGTTACTCACATCTCCCCTAAACCTTCTGTCCCCTACTGTAAATCTATGCCCCCAGTCATTGATCCCTCCATCAAGGGGAAAAGTTCCTTCCTGTCTAGCCCATCTATACCTATAATGACATGTTCAATCCAATCTCGGTGTCCCAAATGAGGCAATTTTCCTGAGCAAAATCCACCAGCTAACATCCATTGGATGAAGAAATGGAAAACATTAGAAGTCACTAGTTAAGTCCTTTGTGACAAACACGTCAAACAAACAGTAGGCTGTTAACTATCACAGTGAGAGTGGTCTACGTGTACTTTTGACACGGACAAACTTGTGGAGGGACACAAACAATGCTGCACACATTATTAAAGAATGTCCCTTCAAAAGATAAGTCGCAGACTAACCGCTTAAAGTCAGAGAATGAGAATGTGATCACTTGGCTCCAGGGATTTCATTTGCTAGATAAATAACTAAAATCATCTTGTTCTTTTGAACCCAAACTGAAAAGCATGATAATTTAATTCTTGTTGCAAAAGTAACGTGGCACTCTCTATTTTTGCCAGCATCTATTTAACATATACACTACTAATTTTTTGGGGGTGTGGTAATGGGAGACAACAGGAATACTTCTCACCTGGTGTAAAGTTTGTTAATCAGTACTTGTGCTTTCTACTACATAAATGGAGACAAACATCAAGATATCGAAGACTGAAATAGCATAAAATGCATACAAACGGGATATATACATCATAGTTTATATTGATCCTCCTTTATCTCCAGGCTATAAGAATAAATGACAAGATTAACCATCATTCTGAGAAAGCTTGATAGAAACAAGGAAAAAATACACTCAAAGATAAGAGCAAAGCAGAAGATCTATTCCAAACTGAGAATAGAATTCTTTAGAAGGGAGTGGATGAATCGGAGTAACCTGAAAGTCATAAGTATCCTGCGAGTTTATGTACCTGAGTTTGCAGAAGCATTGTCTCTTCTCAATCCAAATGTAGCGTAACCCCTCAAACATATAGTAACGAATCACATTTTTCTTTTAAGAAAAAAAGAGCACTATTATAAAATTTAGAATATGAACTTGCTGCAAACAAAGAGCAATGAATACAGCAACACCGTGGTGGCTTAGCTAACTATTGAAAGTTGAATGAGTGATGACACTGAACAAGAAACACTAGCCCTTGACCTTAGTTGGGAATTTCCTCGATAGTTGGGAATTTCATTTTGAATAATGTACCTTTTTCTTTTTCTAAAGAACCTTTATTACATATATCTGCAGTAGGTAGGATTTGAAACTGGGCCTTCTGGCTCAAAGGTAGAGACACTACCACTATACCACAATAGCCGCTAAAATACAACATACTTCAAAAAATGAATTAATTGTTTTCAGGAGTTCAGAAACAGCCACGTTTTAACTTTGTTCTCATTCAGCACGTAATGAGACCACTGTCATCAAATCCCTCTCACAAAACTTCCTTTCAGTTTTGTGTGGATCAGATAGGAAGGAAAGGGAGTTTTCTGGTTTGACCCTTTGTTTTTGAATCACGTCTACACCTCCATATTTTAATATTCATAATATAAAAACACACCATTGTGCTTGCTATACAAAGAGCAAATGAAATAGTCCCATTTGGTTCTATTCATTAGAATTAGTATTAGAAATATAAGTATTTCTGCTATAAAGCATGTTTCGTTAACACGAATTGGCTGTAACTCAATTGACGAATAGTGGACACTGTTTAGATAACACAAACTTTCTACTGTACTGTATAGCAATTTTCTATAGTGTGGGTTTCTATAGCACGAGGTCACACAAGAACACAACTATGGCTTTTTAGGAGAAATACCTATAATACGAAACAGATATTGCATAGATTGCAGCACCATTTATTTTGTGCCAGTGAATGGAATGTTTTCTCTTAATAGCCCAGAATGCCACACCAAACATTTCCAGGCAGGTTGCAGAGCAAGGCTCCTTCTTTTCTTCTCTAGCATGCAGTTGTTGGATCCTCCCACTCAACCTCCTGAGGGTGAATATTAAACTAAGAACTTAATTGACTAGCCAAGAACATTTTCGGAGGCTAAGTATTCTGAAGTGAGTGATTCACCTCCTAACGCCTTAAAGGCTTTCCACCAAAGAATATGAGTCATGCATACAATGGAATAGTCTTTAATTGCCTAGATAAGTGCAATCCAACAACATTCAAACAGCTCAACATACTCAAGAGTAAAGTAAGTCTGATTGGTTGAGACTCTAGACTACTTTAAACATTCACTCCCTCCACCACTGATGCACTATGTCTGCAATAGGTTCCAGTTACACTCGCCAACACTTCTTCAACAGAAACAGCTAAATTAAGAAACTCTACCATGTAGGACAAGGACAGAAGACATCATGTAACACCATCTCTAAGTTTCCATCCAAGTCACAAATCAATCTGACAAAAATATTATTTCTCACTGGTGTTGGGTCAAAATTCTGGAACAGTGATGCAGGAGGACCTCTACCACATGGACTGCTATATTTCACAAAGACAGGTCATCACCACCTTGTCAAAACAAGGATGGGCAATAAAAGCTCATGACCTCCACATACTTTGAATTACTGTTTTAAACCGCTTCCCTCAATTTCAGAAGCTTTTTCATTGTTGCACAAGTGCAACATTTTCCGCATTTCCCATCTTTCTCCAAATGCTGCTGCCAATTTAAGGTTTCATTATTTGGGTATTCATGGGGAACAACATGGTGACTGCCCAAATTCTTATCCAATAGGAACTTTACCTTTTACACACAAGATTATATAATTAGTAATATAACACATGGGTGATATAGAATCCAATCTCCTACCTCCTCCTGCTTCTGAAGTGGAATAGTGTCCTTCCAATCAACTTCAAGCACTCCTATGGCTAAATTTATTCGATTCTCATCTTCACTAGGCTGAACTGGATGAGGAAAACTGTGCGGAGAAGAACATTGGATAGAGAAGCAGTCAATGCGCTACATTTTCTGATAGTTCGCAATTGATAAGTAGGTTGAGGCACGGACAGAGATGTACAGCTCTCGCTCCACGTTCCTGCTGTAATATGTCAATGATCAAAATACAGTCGTCTGTTCTTTATGCATTCACACACCATCCTCCTTCATAAGTGTAGCATTGCATCGCTTACTGTTGACTCCAAGAGAAAGGCATGATGAAGATCTGTGCAATGACTGCCACTTTTAGCCAGCCACCTTAGCTTATGAAAATTAATAAATGTCAAAGATTAATAAATGTCAATTTTGCTCAAAATAAAATAAAGAACTGCAGCAGTTGAAATCTGAAACAGAAACAGAAATTAGAGAAACTCAGCAGGTCTGGCAGCAATTGCGGAGAAAAAGCAGAATTAGCACTTTGAATCCAGTGACCCTGCTTCAGAATTTTTAGCTCTCCTGATTGGTTAATACAAACAGCACAGGTCAGGGTAGTTCTAAATTAATGGATGCCAGTAAAAGTAGGATGAGAGTACTACAATTACAATATGCATCAACCTGGGGAAAATCAACGAAAATTCTTGCTGAAAAGTAAACGTGGAGGGAGAACCGGATTTTATTCAGCCTGGATAACATTTAGCAATCAAGAACCATGCATCCTATAATTTTTCACAGCCATCTCCAGAATGAAGGAAATCACAAGGTATACGATTCCCTTATTCTTAGTTAGATGGGTTTTCACAGTTGCCAGCTGACCCCAGTAACCACCACTCCCAGCAGACACGCTTCATTTCTAAGGCTAATGAGGCTAATAAGGCTATGGACTGTTTCACTGTGGACAACACCAAAACACAGCCTGATTCTAAGCCCAGTTGCTGAGTGTATTTTCAAAGAAAGGGTCAAGAACTAGCAAATCAATAGCAGAAACCCTCTCCACAGTCCAGTGCAGATGCCTATTGGAATACCCCAGTGCCAGCTACAGATTACATATCTTCATTTACTGCCTCTAGATCACTGAGTAGCAACGTCAATAATCCATAAACATTGCATTAATGCAGTTTTGTTCAGGAGAGATTCACCATCGTCTGGAAATTTAGTCACTCCATGTACATAGTTAATTCTAACCAACATAGAAAAACTAACCTGTCATCCTCTATCTCTTCTGTCCAAACTTTGGCTACAAATTGCTGGTTAAATGAATCCTGCAAGAAATCAGTTTAAACATTAGCTCCAGTGAATCCAATCTTTACAAATTCCTTAAGCTTTATACAAGATCTATTCACAACCGATGAAATACTTCAGAATTCAATGTTAAAAAGATATTTTATTGATTAAAACACATTTTCCTCAGAAGGATAAACAAAACAAGGGGCTTAAAAAAGACAAAAAAAGTCTAAACTAGCTACTTCTTAATTGATTTTAAATGTGCAATATCTTACCAACTTAGAGAATCAATGCAACTAGACCCACCTTTAAAATGGAGCACCTCTTCAAAATTAAACAATCACTTGTTCAAGTCAAAGCTACATGTGCACACCTGTCTACTTAAGACTCATCATAAAGCAAGTAAGTTGTGTATTGTTAACCATGAGGTCACAATATAAATAACAAACAGAAAGCAGTAAAAGGAGGAGTCTAGAGATTTTCTAAATTGCTTTCATCATCCTCTCTCCACCATGATCCACTAAAATTTAGGTTTGCAAGATAACTATGCTTTCACCAGTGTAAAACAGGTCAATCATTTTCACCAGACCGAAATACACACGATGATAGAAATGAAAATGCGTTTTGCATTGGAAAGCCAATCATCTACAATCTCACTGAAGGCACAATAGAAACAAGTAATTTTGAATTAATACATTCATGGGGCATCACTGTCCAGGCCAATATTTATTGTCCATCCCTAACTGCCCAGAGTGCAGTTGAGATTCAACCACATTTGTGTAATTGAACAACTATCTCAACCATTTTCTGCTAAAACTTACAATAGTAACCTCACTGCTCCAGACAGTCAACTTTTCTCAAGCCTTAGTGTCAGCTAAATTCCACATTCAAGCTTGATTTCTCTTACCTTTATTATGACCCAGTCAGACTGGCTCAGATGACAGGGGTGGCACTTAACAAGCACTTCCAGAACTGGCTTCCAGTGAAAGATGACCCACAATATTCCCACCGTCAGCACAGTAAGAATATGGCAGAGAATTACTCGCCATTGCACTTGCTGGTATCCAGTCACCTCCTGCATAGAAATGTATCAGTTTTAGTACCACAAAGAAATATGCAGGTTATTCACATAACTACAAAATTCCAGAACCTTCGTTAATAACTGTACCATTTAATACCATGTAGATAACACACAACAACTTAATACAACTGAAAATCTGACACATCTAAAACTGAAATCCTTAAATTCTCCGATTCTGGAATTAACTGTTTCCTGAATCTATTAAATTTTAAGACTGTTTTGCTTTAAACGAAAATAAGCTTAGGAGTGGTTTTCTGTCCAGTACATGTCTCAGTTCTGTTATTTCACCACCCCAAAATTAATCACTGAACTTGCTGTCTCAATAAGAATCATCACTGGAAGTCTTAAAGCCTTCCCACCCCTGACCTATGAAGTCAAGTAGAGGTTGGGGTGGTGTGCAAATGTCCCCACAAACCTTCTAGACAAATTTAGAGCTACCGCGATGGCACTACAGAGCAGACTACTATTCCCATTGTCAGTAAAAAGGCGAATAATGTCATGTAATTGGAAGGGTTGAAAAGTTAGTGTGTTTCACAGAAGAGAATTAAATACACTTTCAAAATGTTTAAACAAATGATATTGACCATCAGATACCCAATTTAATTCTTCTTAGTTCCTCCGTAATACATTACCATGGAGATGATGGCCCCAGTGTGCCGGACTGTACCATAACAGGACGACCGGTCCTTCAGCAGCTTGCTGCTATCTGTAAAAGAACAGACAACTACTTCAGTGGACCTTTTACCTCAGCGTATACCTAACAGTGTCACTGTTGTAATAGCTACACAGCATTCACAATAAAACTTCATCTTCCAACCGATTTATTCTTCAATGCCAACATTTTGATTCCACTGTTGTCGTCACTAGGATTCCAATAAAGTCTTACAGTAAGTGTGAAATCTTTGCCCTCTGTTCATTGAATGGCAATAACACTTGATTCCCTAGGGACAGCACGGTGGCTCAGCAGTTAGCACGGTTGCCTCACAGCGCCAGGGACCCGGGTTCAATTCCAGCCCTGGGAGACTGTGTGGAGTTTGTACATTCTCCCAGTATCTGTGTGGGTTTCCTCCAGGTGCTTCAGCTTCCTCCCACAGCCTAAAGATGTGCAGGTTAGGCAGATTGGCCATGCTAAATTGCCAGTGTCCAGAGATGTATGAATTAGGTGGATTAGCCATGTGAAACACAGGGTTACAGAGTTAGGGAGCAGGGTGGTTCAGGGTGGGATGCTCTTCGGAGGGTTGGTATGGACTTGATGGGCCAAATGGCCTGCTTCCACACTGCAGGGATTCTATGATTCTATGATTCTATCCTTCTATCCTTGCAAACCTGTTTTAGGACATAGGTCATAAGCTCAGGTCGGTCATTTGGCCCTTCAGGCCTGTTCCGTCAACCAACAAAATCACCGTTGATTTGGCTCTGGTCTCAACTCCATTTGCCTGTCAGTCCCCTGTCGACTCAAAATTCTATCTAATTCAGCCTCAAATAAATTAGATGACCCAGTGTCTGTTACATTCTGGGGAAGGGAACTGCACAGACTAAGAACCCTCAGACAAAAATTTCTACACAATCAAGATCTCAAAAGTGAGACTACACCTTAAACTCTGTTCCCTGGTTCGAATTTCTTTTCAATTTTTTTTATTCGCATGTGGGATGTGGGTGTCACTGGCTGGCTAACATTTATTGCCTACCTCTAGCTGCCCTCGAACTGATTGGCTTGCTGGGCTACTTCAGTGGGTAGTTAAGAGTCAACGACATTGCTGTCCAAGGTGATGCGTCCTCTCAGAATCAACCCTGTCAAGTCTCCTCAGAATCTCACATATTTCAATAAGATCACCTCATTATTCTAAACTCCAATGGGTAAAGGTGCAATCTGCTCCAACATTTTTTGCAAAATCAGCCCTTCAGCCCACAAATGAATCCAAAGCTGTGTCCCAAGAGTGCAGTTTGAACTGCATAGGTCTAAATTAAGTGAACTTTCATAGTTCAAATTTCTGTCACTCATGGAGTTAATCATTTAGAGCAATATAAAAGGATAAATATGTGTTTCATAGAACAAATGGAGTTTGTCAGATAAATGTGCCAGCAGTAATTTTAAAGCCAGTCAATAATGACAGGCAATGAAGGAATTGAGTTATAAAAATAGGCTGGGGGGGCTCAAAACTAGGAGGCATATTTTCATGGTGAGAGGAGAAAGTTTTTAAAAAAGGACCTGAGGGGCGACGTTTTTCAAAAAGTCGGAGTGGGTCATATACGAAACCAACTGCCAGAGGAAGTGTATGATGCAGGTACAGTTACAACATTTAAGACACATTTGGGCAAGTACTTGAATAGGAAAGATTTGGAGGGATATGGGCTAAACCTAGGAAACTGAGACTAGTTTAGTTTGGGAACATGGTCGTTGTGGACTAGTTGGACTGAAGGGTTTGTTTCCATGCTGTATGATTCTATGACAGGACTCTTTTTATTGTAACACATGACACTGTAGCTCGCCTTAATGGCTGCTGGAGGCACAGCAACTGCCTTCTCTACACAGTGAGCATTATTTATCGACTGTTACACAGCCACTCAAAACTACATTCAAAATCTGTTGATGATACTGGTTTTTCCATTTTTCCTCTCCTAGAACCACAACCTTAAGATGGATCGACAAGTATTGGTAAACTTCTGGTCACTTTTCCAAGGCACAACTTTTTCCTGAGTCTGGACAGTCAAAGATAGAAGAATATTTGACCATCAAATGCTTACACACAAATTTTTCGACCAGCTACTAAAAGAAAGAAAAGCAAAATATTTCTGGAAAAAAGACACCAGCAGTTCTGACAGCTGTTTCAGAATGGTAGAGTTAATATTTCAGGTTGAGTGAACGAGTCAACTTGACCCAAAATGTTATTTTGCATTCTCACCATAGCTACAGCTGAGTTCTTTCAGAATTTTTTGTTTTTATTTCCAGCTTCGACAGTACTGTGCTTTTCTACTAAAAGAAATACCTCCAGTTAAGCTAAATATAGGGAATCCAGGGGAGCAAAGGAAGTCTCAGAGATAGTAGGAACTGCAGATGCTGGAGAATCTGAGATAACAAGGTGCAGGGCTGGATGAACACAGCAGGCCAAGCAGCATCAGAGGAGCAGGAAGGCTGACGTTTCGGGCCTAGACCCTTCTTCAGAAAGGAAGTCACTTAAATTAGAAAAGCATCAGGTGTGGGGTCATCTATTTCTGACAAGGATATGGAGGAATTATATCACGTTTCAGTGCTTGGAACATTGTTACTTGTTTAAATGAGGAAAAGCAAACAAACAATGCAACTAAAACAATAGTTTCAAATTTGCAGGGAACTAAAATACAGACAGACTAAAATACAGATGGGGTGCTGAAGATCCACAGAACCGAAAATGATACAACTATGCCAAGTGGTGACAACTGAAAGGTAATGCTGACAAATTATTAGCCACCAGAATTGAGCAACATCAATATATTTCACATACTCATATGTACAGATATGATCATCTGATATTGCTAGCCTATTCACCAATACACTACTCAAGGAAGCCATAGGCATCTCCAATACAGTGCCAAATAACGATAATCTAGACCACTGTGATGAACATTTACTGAAATTATGAAGTCAAATTGTATATTGAGTTCAGTTTTCAGGAATGCACAAATGAATGGTGCTGCCATGGGATCCCTGCTAGGCCCAAATATCTCAAATATCTTTGTTGGGTTCCATGGGAAACAGGTTTTCAATGCAATGACACCTAACCTCCAAATTCATACATACTTCCAACATGTTAATAACATATTTGCTATATTTTAAATCGGCAGCTACATATAAGAATTTCCTTATGGGCTCCATCCAGCACTCAAATTCATGTTTGAAATGAGCTCCCTTTCATTAATGTTCCATTTGAGGAATCATTTAGGGGTTTCTATATAACTGTCCATTGCAAACCGAACTTTACTGGTTGGTATACATACTTATTGCAATTCCTACAGTACTACATACTAGAAGATTGCCCTCACAGAGGGCTGTGAAGATGCTGATTAGTGGTCAGGGTGAAGATTTGCATTGGCGCAGTCACCACTACCAGAAGGAGGACTTCAGCAAGACACCCTCCCAGTTCATGTGAAGACGAGCATCCAGCAGAGGGCTGTGAAGACGCTGACTGCTGCGTAGCAGCTAAGACAGCTAAATCCTTATAACTTTTATTGCTTATTGTACTTTTTCTCGGTTTCTCATCTGTATGGGTAGTACACAGACCAGGAAAAAAGGGCCACAGATAATTGGATTTAATTTAATCTAATATAAAAGTACTCTCTAACGTTTCATTTAAATAGGTAAACTACGGCAGGAGAGCTCAAAGTCTTGGTTTGCTCCTCTTGCTCCGTGGCAGGCTGGGAACAGTTCCAAACCCTGGGTCAACATGCGTGCAGGAATGGTCTCCAGCTACAGCTCCTGGAAGCTGCGGCTAGGAACACTGTGGAGCATCCGCAAGGCAGAGAATATCATGGATAGCACGTATACAAAAGCGGTCACACTGCAGGCAGGAAGGGAATGGGTAAGCACCAGGCAGAGCAAGAGAGACATATAGGTAATGCAGGAATCTCCTGTGGCCATTCCCCTCAACATTTTGAAGAAGGGTCCAGGCCCGAAACATCAGCCTTCCTGCTCCTCTGATGCTGCTTGGCCTGCTGTGTTCATCCAGCTCTACACCTTGTTATCCAAAATGGTATATCTGTTTTGAAGGGGAATTACCTCTGAGGAAAGCAGCAAACTCACTGCACCATGGTTCGTTCTGCTGCAGAGGGGAGGGTAAAAGTGTGCCAGGGCAATAGTTATACGGGACTCAATTGTAAAGGGAATAGATAGGCGTTTCTGTGGCCACAAACGAGACTCCCTGGTGCTAGGGTCAAAGATGTCTTGGAGCAACGTTCGGGGGTGGAGGGGGAGCCAGCCCACTGGTTGTGGTACACATTGGTACAAACAACATTTTTTAAAAAAACCAAAGGATGAGTATATAGGGAGCAAGAAAGAAAGTTAAGAAATCAGACCTCAAAAGATAGGGAGAACTCCTACCGCTGCCGCATGCGAGTCAAAGTTGAAATGACAGGATATATCGGATTAATACACGGCTGAAAAGATGGTACCGGGGGTGGGTTTTAGATTCCTGGGTCATTGGGACTGGTTCTGGGGGAGGTGGGACCTGTACAAACTGGATGGGTTACACCTGGGCAGGACTAGGACTGATGTCCTGGAGGAGCGTTTGCTAGAGCAGTTGGGGAGGGTTTAAACTAATATGCCAGGGGGATGGGAACCTATGTAGGGAGCCAGAAAAGGAGAGAGCAAGGACAAAAACATAAGGTAGAAGAGGGAATAAGAAACATGATAGGCAGAAAAACCAAAATTCAAACAGGGCTTTTAAGAAAAATAAGAACAAGACAAACAGTGTTAAAAAGACAAGTTTAAAAGGCTTTGTGCCTTAATGCACAGAGCATTTCCAAGAAAGTGGATGAACTAATACCACAGATAGATGTAAATCAGTACAATATAATTGGGATTACAGAGGCATGGCTACAGGGTGACCAGGGGTGGGAACTGAATGTCCCAGGGTATTCAGTATTTAGGAAGGACAGGCAAAACGGAAAAGGTGGAGTGGCATTGCTGGTTAAAGAGGAAATTAACACAATAGTGAGAAAGGATATTAGCTC